TCTTCTTTTCTCAATATTCACACTCACACGTTTAAACAATATAATCTGCTACTTTTGTTGCTGTTACTTTGACTTATAACTACTGATACCATACGACCATAGAGTAGCCCCATTTGGCATTTGTTCACTTTTTACTCTACACTCCCCCAACAGTCTCTATCACAGTTTCTCTCTCTATATGGTGTATGATCTCCCTAACCATGTTCTCGCAATAATGAAGATAGCAAATTACATGTACATGTCTACATCAATAATTGTGGAAGAAATTACTAATTTCTGTAGAAAATCATTCATACATAGTAGAAAATAACATATACCATCTGTAGGATTGGTACTGCTGAATAATTGTCTAAATATTTGTTTCTGTTTTTCTAAAGTTTTTTTGAACTTTGCTCCATGTTCTACAAGTTGATTGCTACCTATTTAAAGGAACACTGTAGTGTCAGAAATATAATACAAATGTGTATTCCTTACAATATCGGTTTAAAATAGCTGCTTATGTTCCCGCTCCCCTCCCCTCCCCACCATTAAACAGGTGATTTACTCCATACTTTCCAACACCATGCTTGTCTCCTTGCATCCCCCTCCACTTCCTTGGCTGAAATAATACAATTTTATGATCTTAGCATTCCCATAAAAAAGCGTTGGGAGGTTATTGCATGGCAAAACATTGCACTGCGCCAGTCAGCATCTCCTCCTCATGAGGAGCGTTGGAGATATTGAAAGTCAGTGTTGCACATTGTGCAGCACTGACCCAGGAAGCAACTTTAGTTGTCGTCTGAGTAATGTAAACACTGCCTTATTTCTTAAAAGGGCTCTGAAAAACCTTGCAGAGACAGACAGTAGACACCAGAACAACTACATTAAGCTGTTTTGATGACTAAAGTGTCTCTTTAACCCGTTAAGGATGGCGAGCATGCTATGCCGTCCTTGGGGAACTGGCTCTAAACGCCGGCTGCCGGCATGGCATGTCTACGCCATCCATCCCACTTACCTGCTCACCGGCGATCCCATGCTGGGTAATCGCAGTGGGGGGGGGGTGGTTACCTGGCATCCCAGGGAGTCCCCCTGCTGCCAATCCGGCCCTCCTGGGCCATGTGATCATAAGGTCCTTATGAGGACCTCACGATCACATGGACAGAATAGCCGTCCATAGTAGTGCCAGCAGGGAGTGCCTGGAATGACAGATAGTCCCCCTGCTGCCTGTAATAAAGTAACATAAAGTTTTAAAATAGTTTAAAATAAAATAATATATACTTAGATCATACATATTATTGAGGCTTTCCCTCCATATGGAGGGTGTCAATGATGGTTTTCTGCACAACTGTCAGGTCAGCAGTCTTCCCCATGATTGTGATTCCTACTGAACCAGACTGAGAGACCATTTAAAGGCTCAGAAACCCTTTGCAGGTGTTATGGCTTACTTAGCTGATTAGAGTGGGACACTGTGAGCCTAAAATATTGTACCTTTTCCAATTTACTGAGATTGTGGTTTTGGGGTTTTCATGAGCTGTAAGCCATAATCATCACTCTTATGACAAATCACGGATTGAACTATCTTGCTTTGCATGTAATGCATCTGTCTCATACATTAGTTTCCCCTTTTACACTGCATTACTGAAATAAATGAACTTTTGCACGATATTCTAATTTTTCGAGTATCACCTGTATATGTATATCACTATATCTAAATAAAATAATAAAAGAAAAAAAAAAAAAAAATATATATATATATATATATATATATATATATATATATATATATATATATATATATATATATATATATATATATATAACTGAAGAATAATCCAAGATGCACTCTCAGGGCTTGTGCAAAAAATCCGTTTTATTTTAAATCATGTGCAAAAGAAAAAAATCGAAAACCAACGTTTCGACCTCTACAGGTCTTTTTCAAGGTTAGTGAAACTAGCAAAATAGTGAATTTATATAGAATAAAGTGTAAGTGCACTTACCAAACCTTAGCGTTGTGTGTTCCCCTCTCCGAACCCGGAAGTGAATTAGGACCGCCCACCCGACGTCACTACGTCAGGCCGTCCGGCGGAATGTTGATGGGTTGTCATAACAACGTGTGTTAGTTACCAAAGTGTGCTGAATACTGTGGTAGAAAAGTGAGCAATTCTGGTGAGGAAGAACTGACAAGATGGAAGAATAGATCCATATTATAATAATTAACCCCATAAGGCAATTACTGGTATCCATCAATCTTAAAGGTGTCATGTTAAGTGACTAAGTGCTACAAAATGTGAATGAGTGTAGTGCAGCTAGAAAAAGACATAAAGATGATGGATCCGAAATTCACCCTAATGAGGTGATGCTGAATGTGATACACTTGTGGTATAAGTATAAATATAAACCTTAAATCCAGGTTAATTACAAGATTATTACAACAAATGAATTAGGCACTATTTAAATGAATATTACATACTAAGGTGCAGATCTGGAGAAAAAAAATCTAAAGCTGGACCAATAATTATATCTGTATATAGAATTATGTACAGTCATATACTATATTGTAATTTAATGGTCGTGAGGTATAGACCTAATGAAGCGACCACCTGTTGGTCTGTAATCAACTAATGCGATGGGAAAAAACAAATATCTGAAAAAAGTCAATGCTGAATAATACTGCCACTACATGTAACAGAAAAGAATATTAAATATAACAGGCGAACCTGCATAAAAAAGAGATAAATCCAAAAGTAAATAAAAATAAAAAAGTGAATAAAGGAATAAATAAAAAAATGTCCCATCTGCAAATGTTGGTTAAAGAAACATAGAATATGTAACGTGTTCATTAAGTCCTTTTGGAGCTGCTGTCTTTAGAGAATAAATCCAATATGCTTCCCGTTGTAGAAGAAACTTAGACCTATCGCCTCCTCGACGTAAAGGTGGAACATGATCAATAGCAATAAATCTTAGAGTGGGAAGACGATGGTTTAAGGCCAGAAAGTGTTTAGCCACTGGTTTCTCAGTATATTGATCACGAAAGGCTGTGGTAATTGCTGAACGATGCCCTCTTATGCGATCTCTAACAGTAAGATCCATTTTACCCACATATGCTAGCCCGCACGGGCACGTAATCAGATAAACCACATGGTCCGTTGTACAGGTGATGTAGTGTTGAAGAGCGATCCGTTTGCCTGTATGCGGATGTGCAAAAGAGGTACCAGGAGCCATATGACTGCATGTTACGCAGCCTGTACATTTGTAACATCCCTTCTTCTTGTTACTGCCTTCATGTTGATAACAGTGTACCGGATCATTACGGACTAATATGTCCTTCAAATTCCTGTTACGTTTGTAACTAATAATCGGTGGATTTTGAAAGATTGGTGACAAGCTTTTATCTGCTTGTAATATGTCCCAGTGTTTATGTATTGTGTTTTTGATAAGCGTAGTATTAGTATGAAAGGTGAGAGGAAGAAAAAGACGATCTGCCTGAGTGTCTTTGGTCACAGGATTTTGAATACATTGTTTTGCCTTCATTTCGGCAATTGTAAGAATGTGTTGCGAATAACCTCTCGCTGCAAATCTCTGCTTCATCTGTTGTACTTGTGTATCCCTTTTATGAGGATCACTATTGTAGCGTAGTACCCGGACAAACTGAGAGATGGGTAAAGATTCAATCATATGTTTGGGATGAAAACTTGCAGCTGACAGAAGTGTATTTCTGTCTGTGTCTTTTCGATATAAGGTATATCCAATACCTTTCTCAGTTTTAAATAAAGACACGTCCAAAAATTGGATCGTGTTCTTATCAGTGGTCAAAGTTAATTTAATAGGTGTCTGTAGATTATTGATGGTGGTAACCATAGTATTCAATTGTTCTTCTGTACCTTTCCATAATACCAAAATATCGTCCACAAACCTAAAGTATTTCAATATGTGGGTCTGATATTTGGATAAAATGTGTTGTCGTTCAAACCACGCCATAAATATATTGGCATAAGATGGTGCCATAGCAGCTCCCATAGCAGTCCCAAATGTTTGGACATAGAAGGTATTTTCAAATCTAAAATAATTGCACGTCAAAGCTATCGTCAGCCATTCCAATAGGTATTCTATGGGTGGTCCTTCGTAAGAAGTAGTGTTTAGAAGAGTTTCCCGTACAGCTTGTATTCCTTCCGTGATAGGAATAACCGTGTATAAATTTTGTACGTCCAAAGTTGCGAAAATAAATTCCGCATTTATTTTCATGTTAAAATCTTTTAATTGATGTAATAGATCTGGAGTGTCTCTGAGGCATGAAGGTTTTTCTTTAACACACCCTTGTATGTAAAAGTCCACATATTTAGCTATAGGCTCAAGGAGTCCCCCTCGGGCCGATACTATAGGACGTCCTGGAGGTTCCTGCACGGATTTATGAATTTTTGGTATTGTGTATAATACCGGGTGGATAGGAAATTCCACTTGTAAGTATTTTGCCGTATTAGAATCAATATAATTCCCCTGGAGACCTATTTCAATAAGATGATTAATCCTTTGTTGAAATTTTTTAACCGGGTCAAATGTTAGTTTCTTGTATGTTTTAGCATCTTGTAATTGTCTCATAATTTCTTTTTTGTATTGCTGATATGCTTGGATAACAATAGCGCCCCCCTTGTCAGCGGGGCGAATGACAATAGTTGAATCTTGCCGGAGATGTTTGAGGGCTTCTTTTTCTTTAAACGTAAGATTATGTCTAGAATGAGGAGGAATTTTAATGATCCTTTGTACATCATTATGAATGGTTTGTATGAAAGTCTTAATGGCAATGTTGCTAGTTTTAATATCCTTTTTCACTCTTGAAGAAAACAAATGAGAGCGAGTTGTAGTTCCTATTTTTCTGAATTCATTGCAATTAAGAATTCGATTAAGTTTGTACAATTCTATTTCCATCAAAAAAGAATCCGGTTTCCTGCTAGGAATAAAGGTGAGTCCTTTGTTCAAAACCGCTAAATGATCCTGTGTAAGGACTTTGTCGGATAGATTAAATACTACGGACGAGTTCTCTGAAGAGGGGGTCTCCCCGAGGTGTTGGTGTAACGAGTGACCCTTCTTTCCTCGCCTGATAGGTCTTTTTTTCTTGTATCCCTCCGTTCTTTTGGCATATCTGGAGGTTCTTTGAAAGTTGCTCCTTTCTCTAAAAAAGGAGTGGTATATGACTTAGAAGTTGGATCAATCATTTCAGTTTCAGAGGCAGACTCTCCAGAGCTAACATCAATCGTTTTAAACTTTGGTTTGGTAATCCGTTGTTGATATCTTGAAGGTGGGTTTCTACTATTAGAATCACTTCCACTCAGCCATCTATACACTTGGTGGTGAGTGTAGTCATGGTTGACTTTGTTAAGTTTCTGCTTTTTAAACCTTATAAGGTCATTTTGATATTTTTGAATATCATCCTGCAATTTAATCAAAGTGTCTTGCGTGGAGGGTGCTTGTAACAAAGTAACATTACTAACTTCAAATTCTTGGATAGTTTTTTTAACAAGAATTAATTCTTTACCAACCTCTTCCACGACTATGACCATCCAATCTAAGGAGCATTTATTCGCTATTTGCATCCAACGTCTGCCGAAGTCCGGGTTTTGTCTGCCTATAGTAGGGGCATTACGGACTCTAAAGCCTCTAGGTATTCGCTTGGCTCTGTAATAATCTGAAATAAATACTCCATGGAGGTCTAAGTCAATTTCTCGTCGTTTTAATTTAAATAAATCGTTATATAGTTCTTTTGCAGTATTAGTATGTGCGAGATCCTTTGTAGTACGTGGCCATAGTACTGCTGTGGCTTGTTCCTCAGTAATGCTTAAGGTTTCTGCGGTGTCAGCTAAAGCGCCAGATCTGGCCAAAAAATCTTCCATCTTGAAAACAACTTGAAAAAAGTGGTAGAGCAATTGTTTGAAAGTTGTAATAAAAAATATTTAAATGACTGAGATGCTCAAGAGGGTGTAACACTCACCCAATATATATAATAAATAAGTAGCTTGGCACTCTCCTTAATGGAATCCCTTGTATCCACCTGTAGAGGTCGAAACGTTGGTTTTCGATTTTTTCTTTTGCACATGATTTAAAATAAAACAGATTTTTTGCACAAGCCCTGAGAGTGCATCTTGGATTATTCTTCAGTTATATATGGAACGCACACCATTTGCACCCAGGCGGATACAAGGGATTCCATTAAGGAGAGTGCCAAGCTACTTATTATATGTATATATATATATATATATATATATATACACACACACACACGTATATGTATATATATGTAAATATATGTATATATATATATATATATATATATATATATATATATATCTACATAGATATATATTAAATTCTACGTATATATTTATGTAATATTATATGTATGCATTATGTAATATTAAGTAATTTAATTAATAACAATTTGCTGGACCTGCCTGATAACCCAGGCTGAAAGTCCAGAGACTTTAATTTGCTAGCTCTATAGTTAACCCTGTAACTTTTCAAGACACCATAAAACCTGTACATGGGGGGTACTGTTTTACTCAGGAGACTTTGCTGAACACAAATATTAGTGGTTCAAAACATTGCAATCTATTACAACGATGATATCATCAGTGAAAGTTATGTTTTTCACACAAAAATGGCACTTACACTGACAATATAATTGTTATGGTTTTGAAACACTAAAATTTGTGTTCAGTGAAGTTTCCTGAGTATAACAGTACCCCTCATGCACAGGTTTTATGGTGTTTTCAAAAGTTACAGAGTCAAATATAAGGCTTGTGTTTCAGTTTTTTCACATTGAAATTCGCCAGATTGGTTATGTTGCCTTTCAGGCCATATGGTAGCCCAGAAATGAGAATTAACCCCATGACGGCATACCATTTGCAAAAGTAGACAACCCAAGGTATTGCAAATGGGATATGTCCAGTCTTTTTTAGTAGCCACTTTTTCACACACAAACAAATATTAACGCTAACTTTGGCCATTGTTTGTGACTAAGTGGATACTAAAAAAGACTGGACATACCCCATTTGCAGTATCTTGGGTTGTCTACTATTGCAAATTTTATACCATCATGGGGGTAATTCTTATTCCTGGGCTACGATACGATCTCAAAGGCAACGTAACCAATCTGGCGAATTTCAATGTGAAAAAACTGAAAAATTTAAAATGTTATATTTGACCCTGTAACTTCCCAAAACACCATACAACCTGTTCATAGGGGGTACTGTTTTACACGTGAGACATCGCTGAATACAAATATGTGTATTTTATTGCAGGAAAGGAAACAGTATTATGACATCCACAGTTAAAATGTCATGCAGAACTAAAAAAAATAACATTTTTTGATTTCTCACATTTTGTTTTATATTCTATTCATATTAAATTATGTTTCATACCTAAATATTTGGTGTTAAATGAAAGCCCCATTTCTCCTGAATAAAATGATATATTATAAGTGTGCGTGCACTTAATATGAAAGAGGTGAATTACAGTTGAACAGACATATAGTCAAATTCCAAGTTTTGTTTATGTTTTATTTTGATCAAAACAAGTACATTTGGCTCAGTCCTTAAGGGGTTAATGCAGGGTCTGACTGGGTATGAAAAGCAGCCCTGGAAAAAATTACATACCAGCACCATAGCATTGCGTAATTATACCAGCACAACGTCATATTCTTGTTCATAAAAGGTAAAATCATGCATTTTAAAGCACATTTGAAGACTGAATTTATAGATAAGACAGATATAAAAACACACAAGGCCTTATATATAAAGAGCAAAAAAGGTGTAAACGTGGAGCAATCATCAAGAGTAGACCATCTATTGCTGTGGTGATTAGACTACATTTAGAACGTTGCCTCTTTATGTAGAACTCCCATTGTTCCAAATATCACAGTAGACAATTATCCCATGCAATTGTGTCTGTCCCATCAAAATTGTCCAAAAAAAGAATAATCAAAGAGCTTTACTTCAAAGTACAGAAAACATAAATGGTTTCCAAAATGTATTAACTTAACATATATAAATTACTCATAAACACACAAAACTGTAGTAAATGCAAATAAACTTTTAGAGGTAGCAAAAAGTGCAAATGTTTTACAAGACATTAATTCAATATTATATGCAAAAAAGAAAAAGGTACTATATAATCTCCCAACCAAGACAAGAGGACACGTGCCAAACACCCAACAGTGTACCTCACATACACCAATATAATATGAACAAAAAGGTAAATCTATACTGTATAAAATACTAGTATAGATTAAAGGGGTAGCACAAAAAATATATACAACCTGTAGATAATACAAGAAACTTCCTTCACAAGATCTAAAATATAAGAAAAATCACACAATAGTGAAGCATGTACAGTCAATGTATAATACACTCCCGGAGGTAGAGAACTTACAGGACCAAACTGTAGATCTGAACTTGTCTCCCTTCCATAGGGTATGTGGATAAAAGGTTCTTTTCTTAGGAAGCTTGTATATACGGACCAAAGGTGCAAATTCAAGACGCTCAATCCTCAGAAGAAAAAGAGGTATATAGAGCAGTATTGTAGATAAAAATTAATTTATTTATACAAAATGCACTTACATCAAATAAAATTCATAGCAGCATATCACCACTAACAAGTAGTACCCAGGAGAAGGAGTCTCTCTGTAGCAAAATATCCAACGCGTTTCGTCTTTTGAAAGACTTCTTCAGGGATAAAGAATTAAAAATTCTGTTTTCTTTATATAGCCTTCACCATTTGAAGTTGCCGCGGAAAATTCATTCACTTCCGGGTTCGGACTTCTCAGTTTTTGATTGGACATCCATCGTGATCACTTCCGGTGGATGTAACAAGATGTTTTTATTTCCGCGTTCCAAGCTGGAACGCATAGCGTCCATAACGTGCGGCTAGATGTATTCATTTCCGCGTTCCAAGTTGGAACGCATGGCGTTCATAACGTGCGGCTCTATGCCATGATACTTCCGCGTTCCACCGTGGAACGCACGGACAGACCCAGGCGCACAAGTTGCATTTGGGGCACCGAACGTCCCAGAGTGGGACACAGGGAGAAAATACCAATGACCATCTAGTTACATAATATACAAAACAAAGAAATATAAAAACAATAATATGGCTATCAAAATATGGATAACATCCAAGTACTATATAAAACACAAACTAAAAAATACATAATATAAACATGTATATGTATATAGAAGAATAGAGCATATATATACCCAAGTCCCTATCTAAATATACATCCATATCTAAAAACCATACCTATAAAGATATATATAAATAACAAAATATAAAAATTCAAACATGTTACATAAATAATTACAAAAGGCCCGCCAGATCAATATCTTGATTAAGACCTCTCTTAAGGGTATTAAGTGTGTAAATCCAAAAGGCCTCTTTTTTGGCTAGATCATTAGTTCTATTTCCCCCTCTCCAATGGGGAGTTACTTGATCTATACCAATAGCAATAAAGGTAGACCAATCAAATAGATGACAAGAATTACAATGGTTTGGGACACTATGTTCCGTTTTTTGGTTTCTAATATTATTAAAATGTTCCCGGAGTCTAGTGTGTAGGGTCCTGGTGGTTCTTCCCACATACTGAGCTCCGCAACCACATTGTAAAAGGTAAATCACATATGTGGATGTACAATGAATAAATTTCTTAATAGTATATGTTTGATTAGTATAAAATCCTACAAAAAAGGTAGATTTTCTTTTTTGATAAACACATGTGGAACATGTTCCACATTTATGAAAACCTGGAGTTTTTGTGGATTGTAAAAAGTTTTTCGAATTTGGACCTTTAATTAATTTTGGTAACAAACTAGGTGCCAATTTATTTTTAAGGGTGTCTGCCTTCCTATATATAACTACAGGCCTTTCTGGAATTTTATCTCCTAAAACATCATCTCTTTTTAAAATGGCCCAGTGTTTTTTAAGGATTTTTTCAATTTTCTTGGCTTCAGAACTGTACTTGGTAATAAATGCAAAATCTTTGTAACTATAGTTATTTTTGTTTTTATTTTTATGGTTTAAATTTTTATCTTTCAAAAATTCTGTACGATCTTTGTCCTTTATTTTTTCAATATCATCTTGTATGTGGTCTATATTATACCCCTTTTCCACATATCTGTTTTGTATTAATTTTGATTGCTCTTCAAACATTTGAACACTAGAACAGTTTCTTCTCATTCGGGTTATTTGGCTTTTAGGGATATTGTTTAGCCATACTGGATGGTGTAAACTAGTCTTTTTTATTGCTGTATTGCAATCAGTTTTTTTAAAGAAGGTTTTTGTGTTCAAAGTGTCATTTTCTACATATAAAGTTAGATCCAGAAAATCTATGGTAAACGGATGAATGTTATGGGTAAAATTAAGATTATAGTCGTTAGAATTAATGCTTTCAATAAATCTTTCTAGACTCCGGACATCTCCTTCCCAAATAATAAGTACATCATCGATGTAGCGCCGCCATAGGACAAGGCTCCCCCCCATACAAGGACCCAGCTGGATGCATGAGGCTTCCCAATGGGATACATATAAGTTGGCGAAACTTGGGGCGAACCTTGTCCCCATGGCGACGCCACATCGCTGCAAGAAAAAAGCAGTATCAAACCAAAAAAAATTCTTTTCCAAAACGAATTGGATACAGGACACCAAAAAATCGATCTGAGTGGAGTTTAAAACATGTTGTAGGACTAGAACGTCTCTGATAACCTCCAAACCCTTAGCATGAGGGATATTGGAGTACAGGGAGGTAACGTCCACTGTAGCTAATATATAAGATGGTTTCCAAATGAATGACTGTAAACTTTGAAGAATATGAGTAGTGTCTTTAACAAAAGAGGGACACAAA